CCACGAGGTCAATCAGCCACAGGTAAGTTGTAGATTTTTGACCACTGCACCTTTCGATATTCAAAGGTGTAAGTTGGGGCCGCAATCTCACAAACGCCACGGCGAGCCCTCCCTGGCTGAGCCCGCCTACCAAGTGCGGCACATATTGAACCGCGCGGATGGGCAAGCCCTGCGATACGTTCGATTCGACACTTGCACTTTGCATAGGCGAATGCCTTTCCTAGCAGCCCCAGCATGTCCCCAAAATCTGAATTGAGACATCCGCAAGTTGGCCCAGAATCATTCTCGTCAAAAGTGGTAAACTGTAGGCGCAAATGAAGAGCAATTGAAGATAGCTAACAAATCTATTGTTTCCCGTTTGGTGGACAACATTTGAGCATTTGACTGGGATCCGGGTAAAGGGGTAATTGGGGCCATATGAGCCCTGGAAAAGTTGCTCCCTCCCCGTCCGTGTGTGCATACGTGCGCGTGCGCGTGCATTTGTGCGTGCGTGCCTGTGCGCCTGCGTGTGGGCACGCGCGCCTCAGCGCGTGCGCGTAAGCGCAGACACGCGGGCGCAGGCACGCGGGGGTGCGGGCGTGCTGGACTCCACGCCGGGTGTGCAGGCGGGAGCGGGTGCTTACGCTTGTGCTTGCGCTGCGCTTCTGCTTTGTGGTGCCCCCCTGGGCGAAATCTACGTGTGTATGCCCGTGCGCGCGCATGTGCGCGTGTGGGAGTGGGCGGAGCGTGACGGTGGCGTGCGCAGGTGCGTGCGCGCGCGCGCGCGGTATGTGTGCACGCGTGTGCTTGCGCTCACGCGTGTGCTTGCGCACGCGCGTGTGCATGCGCTTGTGTGCGTGCAAGTTTCCGCTTCTGTTTCTTCTGCATCTCATTGTCTCTGTGACATTGCAGCACCATTGGTGCAATTTCGGTTGCGTGCCCATGACGTCAGCCATTTCGACGTGGATGCAGCAAGATCTCCGCACCACTGAAGAGGATTCCGCTGTGAGTGCCACGCAAATCATTCCGTATTCGGAGCGGAGATTGGCGTCTCGTCGGCTCTGATGAGTCCACATGGCTCTTCTGAATATATTTTGACGAAACTCAAGATGGAATTGGACGATTGCATGCAGTGAAGTCAGTCAGCCATTTCAGTCCGGAGCCACATCTCTAGTGATCATGGTCTCGGTTGCTTGGTTGCTTGGTTGCTTAGTTGCTTGGTTGCTTGGTTGCTTGGTTGCTTGGTTGCTTGGTTGCTTGGTTGCTTGGTTGCTTGGTTGCTTGGTTGCTTGGTTGCTTGGTTGCTTGGTTGCTTGGTTGCTTGGTTGCTTGGTTGGTTCGTTGGTTCGTTGGTTCGTTAATTCATTGGCTCATTGGGTTGGGCTGGGCTGGGTTGGGTTGGGTTGGTTCGTCGGTTCGTCGGTTCGTCGGCTCGTCGGCTCGTACGGTTCGGCGGTTCGGCGGGTTCAGCGGTTCGTCAGTTTGTCGTTCGTCGGTTCGTCGGTTTGTCGGTTAGTCGGTTCGTCGGTTCGTCGGTTCGTCGGTCCCTCGGTTCCTCGGTTCCTCGGTTTGTTGGTGGGTTAGTTGGTTGGTTGGTTGGTCGGTCGGTCGGTTGGTTGGTTGGATGGGTGGGTGGTTGGTCGATTGGCTGCTTGGTTGGTTTGTTGGTTGGTTGGTTGGTTGGCTTTGGGGGGGGATTTGGTGGACACCCACACCCCTTCCCGTCCTTCAAAAACCAACAATAGAATACCTATCATAGTGTGTATCAAAATAGAGGGACTCCCCAAAACTGCAGTCTGCTCTTTTGCATCCCCTTGAAGACCACCCCCCACAGCTCGCAGTGCCTGATGAGAGGCGCGGCAAGTGGCTCTCGAAAGCCGGCGCACTTGTGGCTCCTAGACCGGGCTGGGTACAGATCAAGGAGGCAGCATCAACGCAAGCAGTGCCATTGTTGATGTGAAGGTCGGTGTGAGGCTAGACAAACATGACGATGCTGGATTTATCATGGATTCTCGTTTGACTCCCCTGCAAGATGTAACTCGCGTTTTAGCAAAAGGATTGGGAAACAAGTTGAGAGGATTGTTTGAAGGGTTTGTCAAGCATACAGTTTTCCCCTTCAGGGTCCTCGTCGAAAACAAGAGTGGTGAAGCGCAACCTTCATCGACCTTGATCTTTCATCGCCCACACCCCGAGCGTCGCCTGCTCTCGCGGCCGAAGGCCATCCTGACAGAAACAAAAGGGTGCCAAGACTTGACCCGGAAAAAGGGCTGAGCAGGCAAAAGCAACACAATCAGCAAAACAACATATTATATCAGCAGAGAAGGGGCCTTCTGAAAAAGAAAGGCAATCACCCTGTGGTTGAACAGCAATCCGGTTGGCAAGACAAAGCAGTGAAGATAGCAGATAGCAAGCTGTATCAAGTGGTTGCGACCCGATGGAATCTGCGCGTTGCATTTTGCCAATCCGGTCTTTGCTTGTCACAAGGAAGTTAGACACATGCCTTGTCCTGAAAACAGTTCTGTCAGTCATGGATTCACTGTGTTTGTCACATGATTGCATTCCAAAAGCAAGTCCTTGCACAAGCCCCTTTGCTGAGACACCGCCTCGCAGTCATTCTTGGCGGACTGCTGTGCCGGCAACAAAAACCGCCGACCAAAACCCGCAAACTCCGTTGTTTGGCCCAAACCGCAGGTGCAGCAGAGTGGCTCGGGGAAGTGCCCCTGGGTTCTATCAATCATTGTGTGGCCGGCTGCTTGGCCATGGCCCCCCCCAAATTCCCCAATTCCCAGGGCTCCATCCTCGCCTTTGCGAAAGTCATGCCATGCAACCAGTGGCAAGAACCTTTGGCCAGGTGTGTGTGTGTGTGTGTGTTTTCTCTCGGGGTTGGACAGCAGCCCTCAGCTTCTTGTCCATGACACATGGGCAAGGCAGGCTACCAAAACATCCGTCGCCTCCTCACGCGAGAGCTCGGACCTGAGCGAGTGGTTGCCCGTTCTGATTGCAAAAAGAACAAAACTGCCTTCTCAGTGTGCGGGACAAAACAATGGTTGAGTGAAGGGATCGACAACTTACCAAATGAAAGGCTCGCTTTTGCAGTGTGCTCTCGGCCCCACGACATGTTGGATCGGAAAGACTCTCGGATCCGCTCACCACAAGGGCCCAAGTGAACACTAGGTTTGCCGCTCGCCCCAACACCACCAATGACGTGCAACTGCAGCAAGCCTCGAACAAACATCTCATGCCTGAATGAAAAATTGCTTTGCTTCAGCCAGGGCTTTTGAAGAACCAGCCGTACTGAAGCAAGTTTCAAGGATCCAGGTCTGGGCCTGAGACGGGCGTTGCGGAGTGGCAGCGAAAAAAAGGGAAGGCACGCCCGGGCTTCGTCTGTTCCTACCACTTATTGGGGTTTGGAAACCAAAACCAAAGCCCATGTTCAAGGTTCCATACGAGGCACGGGCAGAGGACATGAAAAATGGCTCTTGTGGGAAACTTAGCATGTCCCTCGCAAATGAAGCACTGGCAACTCTACTAAACCTGTAATATCCAAGTTGGATCGAATCCAATTAATTCCACCCAGCGCGCGCGACAGGAGCGGAGCTCCTTTTGGTCTGGGCAGGCACCGGCCGAGAGACGCAGCAAGAGGCTGGATTGGGGCCAAAGCGCCAGACGCGCCGGCCAGGAAAGGCTAGCAAAAACCCGTCATTCTTTGTTTCAACACAGGAAGCCCACCCCTTTTGGCTGATGGAAAGGAGAAGAAAAAGGAAATCGAACAGCTATCATATGTGGAGACATGCACAAGGACAAATCCACGACAGCACACAAGCTGCCTCTCCAGAAAAAAGCATCCGCCGCCCGTGCCGCGATTCCGGAGACCGCGGCGGACCCCTCCCGAGCTCTGAGTCTCCCACAAGTTGGGCTTTGCGATGGGCAGGGTCTGTCCACAAAGTTTTGGGGTAATGATGTCCCTTTTCATTTTTCTTACAGGGGGACCAGCGGCCAGCCGACAGAAACAATAATTTATTGTGGTACAGCAATCCCTCCATTCCAATAGCTGATTGAAAAGCTTTAAAAGGGTTGATTCCCCATTCCCGTTCCAAACGCACCCATTTCTTCTGGGTTTAAGACCATTTTGCGAGCAGGACAATCCCTGAAAAGGCTCGACCATGTGGGCCACAGTCAAAATTTGCTGTACCTTCTGTGGCATAGTAAATTAAGGAGCCCGCGTCTGCTTGGGAAAATGCGTGAATTCTGGAAATGCAGACCGAACCTCACACAAACATCCGGGAGGCAGCCCTCGCTCTCGGTCCTTCCGAAGAAGGGGGAGGGCTTTTGGAAAAAGCCACTCGAGGAGCCGGGCTCGAAACCTCCTAAGATCCAGTTGAGGCTTTTGGTGAAGGGTTTCGGCCCAGCTCGATGATCTCTAACTCAGGACACTGCAGGCAACTCTAACCTTCAGGTCCAGGTAGAGCTGTGCATTGGCAATGCAGCTCCCCGTTCGGATGCTAGGCCGCGACATCCAGCTTGGCGTTTCTCGACATAGCGGTCGCTTCTTGGATGGTAAGCAAAATCTGAGAGCTGGAGGCCGTGCCGCGAGCCAAGAGCGCAACGCGGGTTGAACCACAGTCTTGACCAAACTGGCGCAGTCGCATCTGGTCCGTTTGTGTAAGGAAGCTAACCTGTCTGCGCACACCCTGTCATGCGCTCGGAGCATCGAGTCCTTTGCAAGTAAATGAATTCGGAAAAGGACTTCGTTCGAAGTCTTTGCAAAACCTGAGCCCCTGCTCTGTTCCTGAGAAAGGCGCATCGAGTGGGAACCTGGAAGGTGCGACTTTGTCAGGACCAGCTGGCAGGGGCTGGCCTTTCGCAAAAGGATTTACAGATATTCACAGTAACTCTGAACGCAAAACAGCAAGAAGCTAAGCACATTGACCGGTCAGACTATCTACTGTGCAAACCCGGCAAGTAAGGAACCATGACGGGTTGGTCCTACAATCGGGAGTCCCATTCCAATGGCTGAAATAGCATCCAAAAGGGGGAGCACAGTGCTTGGGTCAGACCTGCCAAGGATGTTGGAGGTCCCCTCCGGCACATCCAAACCGCCACATGGGCCGCATTGGTGAGTCTTGCAACTAGAGCGGTCCCAACACGGGCGGGGCGAGACGGGCGGGCATCGAGGTCCTGACACGCGCATCGAAAGCATCAGCTTAGCCTGGGGAAATGTGCAGCTTCGGGCCACCTTCCCATTCAACCACAGGCAGGGGTTGCAATTCGGAATCAAAAACCATTGAAGGGTTCCCTGAAAGCTGTTGGGGTTTAGCGTGGGGGCCTGCAAAACCATGCGATGGTCAGATGAGCCGGCTCCTGCATGACTAAAGCATGTTCAAAAGAATGTTCCCCAAGTTGTTGTATTCAGCTTCCCTCTAATCACCGGTTGGACTGGTGGTTTGGTAAGGAGGGAGCTTGCTACCCATGAGAACCAGAGGTGATCCTCCAAACAAATCCAAACCACCAAGCATGAACCGGGATGGTACTCAAGCCCGAGCCGTAGTGACGCAGCCATTCCTTCCACGCCCCACAAAGGCCAGAGCACCAGTTGCCATTCCCCAAAGCTCTGCATAGCCATACCAACATTGGAAAACTTGTTGGGCAAAGCTGTTAGGTAGAAAAGGTTGCTTCAAAAGGGGGGCACCCCAAAAGCCGGCTATTAAACAAACAACTGGAACAATCAAAAAGGACAATGCAATGGACTGAAAGGGCGGCCGCCCCTAATTTATGGTTTGGACTATCCCCTGCTACCCTTCACTTTTGCAGGTGCTTGTTGTGAGGCAGTGCACCCCTGGCCTGGAGCAAGGAAGTCCTGCCGCAATCGCGCCCGAAAAGCGCCCAAAGGATCACATCGCAAATGCCTTTCAAACAACATGAGAAGATTGGCTGCTGCCTCTGGTGTTGCAGGTGCGGCTAGATCGGCATGTCCAACAAATGCTTCAAATCACAAGAGACAATTTCTAGACAGCCCTGAAATGAAAGAAATCAAAGGCTGCCCTGTCGCCTCCGCCAACGGGTTCGGCCACAGCAACCAAACGTCTTTCGGAGAGGGCATTTCTGGGGGATGGGTTCTTTTGAAGGGAGAGAGGACTGTGTATCTTGGGGAGGGCGATCCCATTTGGAGACAACCCACGGGAATGAATCTAAATGAACACGTTTGGACATGATGTGCATTGCATTTGTTGTCATGTCCATCCATCTGTGCAACTCATTGATTTCTAGACCCTGCTGAAGTCGGCCCCTGCGGATGGACAAAACCCTGCACCAGTTGGCATCGATGGAAACCCTATGAATACTGTGTTCGGCGAGAACCCTGATCATGGTTGTGTTGAAATCCCGGCTACAATAGCAGCCCGTGGCCATCCCTAATCCAATCCTCAGCAAGTCTTTCGACCACACCTTCGAGGGGCTGTCAAGAGGTCCCTTTGCACCCCTATCACTTGCCCAAACAAGTTCGCTATCTTGGCAACTCTGGCCGGTGCTCGTGAAACCCAACGTCGTTTTCAGGGATCTCTGTGAGAACCCCCCCCTCCCACAAAGAACAAAATTACATTTGGGCTTCCCTTCAGATCCCCTTAAAGCCAACCAAGCGGGTTGTTGAAATGCCCCGCTTTGCGAATGCCGCGCTCGTGACTCGCCTTTGCCAGCTTTCCCCGCGCCTGGCAAGGCCTTCTTCGCAAACTGTCGGATGTCCGTGCAACCGCGGACCTCCTGAGGGACCTCGTCCTCCTCCTGAAAAACTTGATTCGGGTGCTAGGACCCAACAGAGGTTTGAGGTTCCCTCGGTTATGCAGTTGTGTGTGTGTGTCTGTACTTTTGGGTTTCCCTTGACATGGAGTCTGTGTAACCCCTTCAAGTTTCAGCAACGTACAAATAAGTACTCATTGAAGACTGCTGGGTAAACATCAACCCAAAAGAATGCCCCTAGTTTGTGGAAGGACTCGCCAAATTCCTATCTTTCCTTGTTCAAACAGTTCGACCGGTCGAAATAGAGGCATCGGATGCCCAAGTCCGGCTGCTCCTCTTCACTGTCTGAGATGTTGTCTTCTGGTACCACGGTGGACACCGTGGACTGCGCGGATGCCGTTCGCCTGTGTTTGAACTCCTGGCAGTCACTGGCCAAAGCGTAGCTAAATATCGTCAAAGCGGGTTGGACCCATCCCCCAAAAAATGACAGCTGGCAAAACACGGTTTGAGCGCACAGCAGAGGCTTCCTTGTGCTTATCGGGCCTGACATGCATATGCCCCATCCAAAACAATGCTGCCTAATTCAGGGAAAATAATTTTGAAAGGCTCTTGGTGCTGCAGCGCCTTCCAAATTCGAGAACTTCAGACAGGTGTTCCACACTCAAAGATAGAAGAGGAAGAGGAACTTTAACCTTAACATCTGTAGGCCAGCAGAGCTTGGCCACTAAGTCACTAAGAACGAGCCAATACAAAGTCTCAGTGATGCACGGCCAAGCTTTGGCCATCCTGTGTCACTTCATGGTCATGAACAACCAAACCTGCGGCAAACGGTTCCAGCCCCATCGAAGCCTCATCGGAGTTCGCTGCACATCCCGCTTCACATCGGATGAAACTCACGTTGGAAGGGCCCAACTCGTGAGTTTACGCTCGTGAGGCAAACTACCGCATTGGATTGGCTCCCAAGTCACCAGGTCCAGCGAAAGCGAGCGGAACTCCTTCCAGGGCCGCGCAGCAGCTTCCAACTCCTGCACTTTCAAAACTGAGCCCAGAGAGAAGTGGAAAATGACAAATGCCACAAAGATATGGTCGTGGGAGTGTTTCAAAGACAAGGACAAACCGAGCACCGTATAGGGATCTTCGGGACTCCAATTTTGGAGACAAACCCGCTCACGCAGCAATCCCTCTCCAAGCTTCCATTTGTTCCAGCTAGCACGGGTTATGGCGCCGTTGCATACAAAATGTTGTCGAAGTGTACCTGCAATGGCCCACGAACTGCATATCTGTTTGTTCCCCCCTACATGCAGATGGTATATAGCCACAGGGGTAGAGCCCTTCTGTTTTGCGAAGCTCTTTTCCGAACCACAGAAACGTGAGCAGCTCTGCAGGTCAGACCCGTTTGGCTGGTTTGTTTGACAAGTATCACAATGTCGCCACTCTCTCGTCTTGTGGCAAATAAAAATAATTTCGTTCGCAATGTAAATTACGGCAAGCATCGCAGTATCGACTGCCGAAGGTATGGACCAATACATTGGAGCAAAGAATGAAGGCTTTCTTCGGTGGCTCGCTTGTTCCTCTTGGGACTCATTCTTAAACCAGAATCGAATTACATGAACCCATTGACAAGAACTGCGGCAAGGGCTTACACCGGGCCTTGGAATCCACCCAGATCCCCCATCCCGAGCACCGGCTCGTTGGATCGGCCTCTGCCACTGCGACATAGTGCTGCAGGATCGCCGGGCAAGTATCCACCCGCGCCGCCCGACTGCGCAGGTGCAAGGCCTCGCAAAGACGGAAGGAAGACCCCAAAATGGGAACGTGTGTGAGTGTGTGTGTGTGTGTGTGTGTGAAACAAGGGGCCCAAAGAAAAACGGCAGCTTTCCCATTGGTATCCCTGTAGAGCCAAAAAAGGCTCCAGCTCCAGCAACACACTAAGAAAAGCGAGCTGTTCCTTGCATTCGTCTTCCATCGAAAGGTTTGTCCGGCAGGGAGAAACACGAGGGTTCGGACTTTCACTTGTTCTGTGAGCCAAGCAAGTGTTCTTGGCCAGTTTGCTGGGTTGTTTGGAGTGTGCTTTGGACGGGCCTAGGGTTGGTTTCGGGTGGTGGGTTCATGTTTGCTTTGAGGTTGGTTCTGGATTTGATTAACTTTTGGATTGAGAGACAGGGGGTACACGTGTATACTTAGCCCAGTTGTATACGACGCAAGACCTGGTTTTGTCCGGTTGGGGGCTGAGGCAAAAGTCAAATCCTCTCCCCTTCAAAGCTTCCCGTCTTTCTTTCACGGACCCGATCTGCTCTGTAGCAGGATCCATTTTATGTGCCCGCCTGCCGCCGGAGCAGCGCGTTCTTGTCTACCGGCGGCGGTGCAAGTGGCGCCGTGCGGGGATCATAGTCGTCGACTTGGAAGTTGGCAGTGCACGTCTCGCGAAGGCTCACAGGAGTACACTCACAGCTTCCCGGTTCTTTTGAAAGCTGTATCAACTCGGCCTCCAAACAATACATTATCAACTATCTACTACCGCGACAGGAGGATGGGGATGTCTTGCCCACTGTTTCATTCGGGGTCGGTTTTGACGGTAACCCGTTGAAGGCTCCCAGTTACAAATTTGTAGATTCCCGAAAACCGTCCAAACTGCCCAACAAGATTAGAATGCGACCCCGGCCCCAAGCTGAACATTCCTTGCTCGCGCGCACGCGCAAGCGTGCAAGCCAACCGTAAAGCCAACCGTGAAGCCGCCATCAACCAATGAGGCCCAGAAACTCACAAAGGTTCCAAGAGAGTCCAATCCCAGTTCTCGCTTGGGAATCCCAGAAAGAAAAACTAAGACGTCTCAACTCCCAAGGTCCCAGTGGAATCCATGCCAGGAGGCAGTCCGCATCGTAGTCTCGCCACTCCCCGCGCCGGTCGTTCTTATCGTTCTTGGTGGGCAAAGGCTCAGGCTGCGAAGGTGTCTGAAGCCGGGTGGAACGAATGTGGGGCGCAAGGAACAGAGAAGTCAAAGAAGTCAAAGAAGTCAAAGAAGTCAAAGAAGTCAAAGAAGTTAAAAAAACGGAAGAAACCACTTTCCTGACTTACATGGAAATGCTCCAGTTGCCAAGCAAACATCGTTCCGAAGACTTCTGAACCAAGGGACTGCATGCGAAGGAGGGTCGCATCTTTCAGGATCGTAGGCGCTTTGAGACCAACAGTGACACACACACACACAATGCACAATGACACACAGGTGTGACGTGCAAAAAAGGCACGTGAGCTGCTCGAGCGGGAAGACTGTTGAACTATGTGGCGGAACAAGACCCGGGAAAACGCCTCGGCGATGCCTCACCGACCACGAGCTCATCTCTCTAGCATATCCCCCTGCCTTGGCACTAATCTTGATGGGCATGCCCGAGACTGTGCTGGTGCAGGTGAAGCACTGCATTCCGCGGGCTGTCCTGCGAATCCTTCGCAAGCAACCTTCGCTGAAGGAAAAACGGCGTGGTTTCAGCTGAGACAGGCTGAGAGCCTAAAGGACCGCAGATACCCCAATGTTTAATGCGCATTCCCTTGGCGTCCCTTTAAACTAACCCTTACAAGGCACCTTCACAAAAAGACACACCCGTGCAAAAGCATGAAACACTGTCTGTCAGCAACATCCCGTTGCTTCTCAGCTTCCTTTACTGGCCACCCTATTACGCGCTGCTCGGGGCTGCGGCTTACGTGGCGACAAAATCAAGGAACTGTCATTCTCCTGTTCCCGAGCAAACAACAGTCCATGTCATTCCCAAATTGGAACTTCGAAAATTGCTTTTTCCAACCATTTATAAAACCCTGTCTTGGGTTTGTTTTCTGGAGGCAAACCGTCTGATCCGAAATCCCGATTCACACACAAGGCTCCTCCGAAAAAGCACGCGAAAAATCCTCACAGTCCCACTCATGGACATAATCCTTCGCCTGGGAAATTAAAGACCCTCGAAATTCTAAGACGCGAAATTTGTCCGCTGCATTTGGCTTGGAACCTTGGCTTTCGCTTTTGGGCCTTGGCTTCGCAGCTTCGAACCCCAGGGAGCCCGGCTGTGACAGCCACATCATCGCCATGGTCAGGGTGAGGCTGGCAAGCTGGACAGCGAAACAGTCCAAGACTTGTCTTTGGTGTTGAAAACCCAAAGAAAAAAAGGAAAAAGATGCAACCAACCTTTGTTGGGGCTACCAGATTTGTGGGTGTTTCATCAAGTGTGGAGATCCTTTCCAGACACCCCCCTCAAACCATGGGAAACCGGCTGGTTTTCGAAAGTGTAGTCAAAAAGAAAAATGGATTGAGAAGGGATCACTACTTGACATGGCCCTGCTTGAGCTTGTTGCAGGAAGCTTCTGAGGCCACAGTCTCGATCGCGAGAACAGACTTGATCTTGCCGGGTCCCTTAGACATGCTCAAGATTACTTCTGCTGAGGACGCCACCTTAATGGACCCAGTCCTGACACAAAATCAAACAACGGCACACCCCAAGTGCCAGTTGTTACTTGAGCATCACTAGCACGGCTCGCCAGTGGGACCTTTCACGGCGCAAACAACGCCTCAATGTGAGGATAATTTAGATCTCGCCCCATACCCCGAACCCCAAGTTGACCCGTATACTTCTCGCAGGATTCCTGCCAATAAAAATATTTGTTGTTGCTTTGGGTTGGGTAGGATTCGTTAAAAGGGTGAGTGGGTTTGATGGACGAAAAACAAACCCCGTCATCAAAGAAAAACAAACCAAAAAGTCTGGGACAGGCCTCCATTCCCTGCACCCTGGCCCAGGAATGTGGCCGAAAACTACGCATTTAGGGAAGCACGTCTTAGAAAAAGGAAAGCCGCCAAATATCAACCTCGGGATGGAGATCTGACGTCCACGCGCTTTTTTGGCGGGAAGTTGTTGAACAAACCACGCCAGCAATTCCATCCCAAAGGAAGAACTTTGGCTTCAGGTGCAAACCACTGCACTAAACAACCTCGGTCGGCCCAAGAATCCAAACTCCACTGCTTTGGGCAGGGTCATAGACCCCTCCTTAGTGATTGAACATGTCACCTGCCATGGGCCTCAAATCGTCCTCCGCCCCCCAGAAGAAGAAGATGCACCTCTTTAGGGCCACCGCATTGTCGGCCCATAGTCCCAAGACCTGCTTCTTCCGGTCCGATCCCATCGGTCACTGAGGACCCCCACCGCATAAATGCCATCTCTCCCTGCTCTCGGCCTCAAAGCAAACGCATTTAATGCCCTTTTGGATCGGAGGAAAAACAAGACGTCCATCGGATGGTCATATTAGCACATCGTTCCTACACATTCGTCTGGGACCAACTCTATTTAGGAGACAGACCCTGCCCCAGCCCCCTTCGCCACTCTCGTTAGAAGGCTCCACTAATCGTCCAAGCTGGATGCTGTGCATCCGTTCTTGCCAAACTCAATGTCACATGTGCACTGTTCAGTCAGCTTAAACAGTTTAGCCCATGGAATGCGTGCGTGTTTGGAGCGAATCATCTGCACCCCCAGGTTCAAAGTTCTACCTGGGAGAAATCAAACAATGGACTCTGAGCATGTCCCTTAGTTCCAATGGAACTGCCAGTCGTGGTTCGGTTGCATAACCTGTAAGCACATTTGACTCGTTTACGCTTCAAAACACAAAAGTGTCCATGCCAATCACCGGCAAGTCGTACTCCTTTTGGAAGAGCTGCCTTGGGTCGTGGAAAAGAAACACACCGCACATCTGAGGCGTGGACCGGCAAACGCCAGAGAGCAAAAGAAATCCTGAAGGCAACATCCCTACTACATCCTACTGCCTGAAGCTGCGGATGGAGCACGCGTGCCGCCCCTTCAGGTCAAGCAGGGGGATTGTTTCGAAATTCGTAAACTGATTGACTTTCTCCGACAAGCCCGCAAGGAATTTGTGCCACTGTGCTTTGCCATGTCACCAATCATTCTAATTGTTTGCGTTCGTTTCACAACATTGAACATAGCGGGCTTAAGTCCTCCAAGCACAAAGACTTCCACGCTTCCGAGTCACCGCAAATGCTCACTGCCCACTGTGCCAAACCACCACATGGCCCAAGAAATGCGAGCTAAACATGACTCAAGGTGCCCCCACGTGCCTGCAAGCAACGTCGAAAAAAGATGTCAAATTGGCCGAGCTATTGACACATGGCCCCCACAGCATCACGCGTGACATTACACTGCCGAAGATTCATCTGTACTTAAACATTGCAGGGGCCGCTCATCAACGACGCAAACAAGTTTGAAGCGATGTAACTCCTACGGTCTTTCAACTGCGGCCTTCTGAATACATGCTTTGCTGGTTGAGTGGCAGGCGCAGGGAACACGGCAAGTTGTTTATACCAAATCCGTCTGAGATGGTTATAATCATGTGGAAAGTGGGGTGTGCGTAATCATGGATGCGCTGAGGTACTCAAGTCAATGAGAAATGGACAAGCGGAAGGCTGCAGACGCTCACTGCGTCAACAGCCCTCATCGCCATACCACCATCCTTCGTCCCATTCACCGTAGTAACCCGCCCACTGTGGGTCACGAACATCCGCACAATCAAATTCAAGTGTGATGACTTGGCCTGGTTTTGCGTGCTTGATTTTGTATCATCACATGGGTCGATTGAGTTGACAACATTTGATGCACGCGCTACATTGCTTCAGCATGTATGTCACAATCCTAAAAGTGTAATAACCGGTGTTTTGTCATCGGACTGTTTCCCAGGTTTGCGCAACATCAGTAAACACATCATACATAGCATTGCTAACTTTGCTGTGCACACAGCTGGAAGCGCTTCCATCAGCGCTTTCACCGATTTTGGTTTGTGCAGGGTAACAAATTTCCAAGTCTTGTTTGTCGTGTTCCACCTGTTTCTGTTTTCTTTGTTTAGATGTGATGGTTTAGGTATATTTGCTCACCCCCCCACAAGCAGCTGCAAAGGCCGCTAGCAGGATCAATGTTATTTTTTCCCCATGTCGCCTTCAGCATGGTCACTGGTCGACTAGCAACAGGCAAACAAATTCCCTAACTATCCCACAGGCCGAAAGGACGCAGGGATGAAGGCCAGGTACACAGCACAGCCTCAGGCCGTGTTTTCCCACATGCCTTAGGGTATGGACAGAAGCCCAGCACCCGCAAAAAGCCATCACCCAGAGGGTGTGACGAAACGCGAGGCAAGCGAAAGCAACAAGCCAGGCCTTTCCTTCGCACGCCAAAGACAATACCATCTTGCAAAAGACCAAGCCGAGGACAGTAACTTGCGCAAAGTGGCAGGTAAAGGCGATTCTGCCAAATGAACCAGATATGCAAAACAAGGCTGCAAAGATCATGGGCTTGAGGCATCAATAAGGACAAAAACGAACAAGTGCAGTAGTTCGTGACACCGCCATATCAGTCATACTCGCCAGAACGAATACCCGAAAACTAGCATCGCATCTCCCGGGGTCAAGCTAGGTACCAAGCCGCCAGGCAAACATTGGAGGCCCATCGATTCATGAGGAAGAGCATGTGCACCAAGCAAGAGGATCGCAAAAATCAAACAAACCAGAAGGCCAAGGCGAGCATGAACAAACAAAGACTGCGGGCTCCCCAACTGCAAAGCTGACACCCGCAGGTTGACCAAATTCTGACACTTGCAAACGACTGACCTGGTGCATCGCTGCTTTTGGCTGCCACGTCTCCACGTGCCGAGTGCCAGTTACAGTTACAACAAAGAAACAAAGGCCAAATTGCATGTCGGGCTAGCAAACCAAGGATCTTCAAAAATGTCCAATCCCGTCCGATGCAATACGCTGCAGCACGCCAGCAAGCCATAAGATAAGGCAGTCCGCCAACAGCTCTTGACCATGCTAAGCAAGCGACTGCGTGCTGTTCGGCCCAAGGAGGTTGCCGGGCAGTTCTTTTGGAATTTTCAAGCCAGCTTCTGCACGAGGTCTAAATCCAACTTGGGAGACAACGACTGGCTGTGCAATTGCGTTGGGCGGCTTAGTTGCCCAGAACGGCCTACCTGCTCACGCCAATCGCTGTTTGCACCCACCCCGGGTTATCGATTAAGGCGAAGTGGAAACACTCTGCAATCTTCTCCGGCGTAGCCAAACTGGGCGTTCGCGTGCCCCTGCGGCACGGCGCATATCGGCTGTTGGTAGCGTGGCGACATTGAACTTCTGTTAAAGGTCCCGCGCACTGCTCCTAGCCTCAAATCACCAAAAACCCAAAACCCAAGAGCCGACCGCAAGGCGCACACCTTTTTTACCGGGTTGCTTGGGAAGGTAGCACTTTCCTAGGGCACTGCGGTGCACCTAGGACAAGGGGCGAGAGATTCCCCCCCCCTGTGAAACAGATCGCAAGACATGCGTGTCCTTGCTTAAAAATCCGAATGAAGGCGCGGCATGCGTGCCCACGCCTGCATCAGAGGACCAGCGGGCCCAAAGATGCAAACAGGGCCAGACCGCGGGTCTGGGCCCTGATGAAAGACGGGGAGAGCGCTCCCAGTTTTTTCCCGGTGGACTC